CGCGAACTCTATGATCTATGATATGGCACAATGAGATAAAATCACTTTTATTTCGCTCTCTAATTACAAAATTACAAACTAAGCAAAAGCCACCAGAGTTAGGCATATAATTGCACTGAAGTTGGTCAGACACATACATGTACATGTAAAAAAGTAAGGGGTAGATGCAGCACCAGACACTAACATGGTTATGGTCACTCCAATGCACATGGACCCTCAAATCTATCATCAGACCCACACAATTTTGAAATTTTAATAGAGCCCCCCCCCCCCCCCCCTTCAAATACACAGACCCTAAATATTCAGTTCAGACCCCTTGTTTAAAAAAAACATTAGCCTTGAGACCTGGTAAAGCTCAGACATTTGCTCCAGTGACAATAATTATTCTTCTGGGTTTCATATCATCAAGGTAAAAGGTTGCCATTGGTTTTTTAGGTTAAGATTAGGTTAAGGGTTAGGGTTATGGTTTGGCATGCTGTTCGGTCCAGGACTGTTAAGTTAAGAATTTGGTCAGTGTTGGAAATTGACCACAGAGCAACTGTCCCCGATTACATGTTCAGACAACCTGCCTGACCTACGTCTGTTCCTGAGCCAGCCTACGCTGCGCTCATCGATTACAGCGAAACGTTGGTGATTAGATCATGTTGTTTACACAGGGCTTCTCATAACAAAATTAGATGCAAACCCAATATAGGTCATATTGATTATGATTGTGAGAGATAAGCATGGACTGCAGAATACAGTATGGATTGTTCAGTTCGAATGTATTGAATAATCAACCCTATGGGGAAAAACAACAGATCAAAATAGAGACTAAAAATGGCTCTAAAATTATGATATCTGCTGAACAGCCTTGAGTTTGCTTTTGTGGGTCTTTCCCCCTATTCATCAACCTTTATTCATATTACACGGTCTCCAATTAATTGATTTGATGTTTCAATCATCTATTTACAATTTCCTGCTTAAATTTTTTCATGGTATTTTCTAATTATAGTTTCTTTCATTTGCCCTCTTTTTTCTGCTCTTTCTCTTTCCTCCCTTTCTTTATCTCTGTATTTTCTCTAATTAATGAAGTAATAATACTATACATGTAATAGGCATTAGGATGACTCTCTCTCTCTCTCTCTCTCTGTGTCCCTCTCCCCTCCCACCTTTTCTCTTTTTCTCGCCTCTCTCTCTTCCTTCCTCTTTCTCTATTTCTGCCTCTCTCTCACCCTTTACCCCCCCCCCCTCTCTCTCTCTCTCTCTCTCTCTCTTCTTCCCACCTCAAAAAGTTCATCCGTTACCTAATAAAATGAACACAGTTGCTGCTGTCAAATCTTCCAACTCCCAAGATAATACCCTCGGTGAGAGTAAGGAGGCAATATTTACCTGCTCAGCTGCACAAACACCCCTCCAATAAATATCACAAAAATAGACATTTCGAAGAGCCCTGATATTTGGAACACCACTTCATCATATCATCCCGCCATCCGTAAGAATGCACTTTGTCTCAAGAGGTGTGGTAAAGGTATGTCTACTACAGGGGTGTAGTCGTAATTTTCTTCCATACCTTGGCATTTGTAATGGCCGTGACGTCGACATGTTTGTATCTGTCGGCATCTGCGTCATCCCGTATCATGATATGAAACTGGAGGTATGAGTTGTGTCAAACTAGTCAAAAATGAATTTGAATTAGGTCTCAAAACCTTTTGCTGCAAATCCAGAAGACATGAACTGTTTAAATTATCTTCAGAAGTGTTGAATCAAAATATGGGTTGACCGGTAGAGCTCTGTTTGAATAAATACAATGAAATATGGAAAGAGCACAGCTAAAGAAGCAGGAACGTCAAATGGTGCTGGCAGTCAAATACACACATCACTAAAAGAGCACTATTCAGGAAGTTCAGGTACTGTATATGAAATACACATTGAACAACCTAAATTCCATATGGCTACAGAATTTTATTTTCATGGCTATGTTTTCCATGATTAAGATACAATTTGAACCACAGCATCTGGAATTAATCATTTGCTGTTTTAAAGCAAATTTACTATTTTAAGGAAATTAGTTGGCTTTAAATCATTGCCATCATAACTACATGTATGCTTGTGATAGTCATCTCTGGCTAAAGATAACAAATACTGCATACTTGCCAGATGTCTAGAACTATGTGTGATTACGACAAAGGAAAAGGCGCAACTTTTGTTTTAATATAATAATTTTAGTTACACCTCAGGAACAACGGTAGACAGACAGCCAGAGATAGGTCACAACTAAAGATGTCATGAGGCATCCTAAACTGACCATCTACTCCACTGGCTAATTTTCCATCCTATTACCCTTTTATGCACTGCCATGATCAGTCAAGAATCTGAAATCTTTTATCCCGTATTGGGGGAAAATCCCCTTGGAATTGGGATACCGTCTTGGGTAATTGAAGATCAGAAGTTATGACGTCATGTCCCTCGCCTCAACGTGACTGTCAAACAAACAAGACGACTCTTAGAGAGGAAAAATTTAAAAATGTATAGCATGCTTCTACAGTGATATCTGGCCTGTCAGTAATATTTTTCATTGAAGGGGACTATCTCAAGTTCCCAACCATTGTCTTATTCAAGTTTAGATAGTGAAACATAAAGAAAAAAAATCACCACTTTCACACACAAAAATCTGTCCATGGATGGATTGGAATGTACATATATGATATGTCAGAAGTTCTCAGAATACAAAAGCTGACTAACATGCAATTTCATTCTTTACCCTGAATGATAAATATTCCCATCAGTTGCCATTGAATGAGCATCTTGTGCAACAAAATTATAATAACCTTGCTACAAGTAAAAATTTATTGAACACATTGACAAGCTGCCATATGAAACACATTTCAAACATCTATGACCATACCCAGTTCTCAGAGCAATGCTTTCTTCTTGGCCTTACTGCATCTTTCCAGTCTACTGTTATTCTTAATCCATGGATATTATTGTGTCAGTTCCTTGTTTTTAATTTAAGCTATTTCCTGATTGCATTCCTGAGAACAACATACTGGTAATATAATGCCAAGGAGAAATCGCAGAATAGACATGGTTTCAGGCGAGAGAGAGAGAGAGAGAGAGAGAGAGAGAGAGAGGAGAGCGAGAGAGAGAGAGAGAAAGAGGAATTACAAGATACAAATGGTCTTCCAAATCAATTGAGTATGACCTAAAATATAGTGAGAGCTAGCATATTGGGGGAAATCGTTATTCTTGGAAACATATACATGTACATTTAGTGTCATAAAAGATGGAGAGATGCAGTTCCCTATTAAAGTACTACAATTTCTTGGAAAGAATCTTGTCCATGAGGTCCTGGTTTTAGAGCTTGAACTCCACATTGCTATAATGATGACCTTTTCTCCTATAAATTGGCAACACTAAACACTGATATTTTTAAACTTGTCATTACTTTACTTTTCAAATGAAATTCATGTATCTAAAACAAGACTAAATTGTATGTTGATTTATTAATTGCTTGTTTGTAAGGAAAACAAGTGCATATAATTTTCAACCATGTTGCCAATTCAAGAAATAGAATGAAATCGCATATTTGTTGTCCTGTCAAAATTTGATTGACCTGTTAAAAGAAAATGATATGTAATACCAAAAGCTAGGGATTCAAGAAAAATATGCTAAATATGCTATCTACTGAAGATAGCAAAATAGACTTTTAAAAATTTTCTTCAAGAGAGTACTTGCATTGCTTTACCTGGGATAACACAGCCGCTGTAAATTGTGTATCTAATCTATGCAGAGATAAAGTGGTATAATGTGGGTCTTATCATGGAGGGGCACTGATATAATTTTTTCTGGGGAGGGGGAGAGGGGCAACACTCTTTACTCAATAAATGAAATGGGAATTATTAAACAAGGCCACCAATTGGAGGAAGGTGCTGGATGGGCTCCATCGTTCTACTATCTTCTTTATCTTCCTTTCTACATCTCCCTTTTCTTTCTTTCTTTCTTTCTTTTTTTCTTTTTTTTAGGGGGTTGAATTTTCCTCCTTATCTATGTAAGTTTCCCGCAACCAAATGTAACTTGCACCACATTCATTCTAATTCTCAGATTTTTAAAAGTGTTTCTTTCATTGTAATACTCAGACACATAGAGCTCGATACGTGAACAGTTTTGTAGTGAACAACTGATCCTTCTTAGTTATAATTAGCGAGGATTTCTCATTATTATTCATGCCCTGAAAAGGGAATTTATACAAATTTGGGTCACAATTAGCATCGTATAATGAAGATGAATCTTATTACACAGGTGACCATCAATCAATGAGGCTTCATGTAATGAGCTACCAGTGATTTATTCAGAAAACAATCATCTTCGGCTAATATCCAAACATAAACAGTGTTCATTCACTATCAGTCAAAGGATGAGCATTTTTGTTCTCCTTTTTGTTCTGTGCTCTCAATATCTTAAAAGATTATGGGGGTACACAGAATCTAGCTTTCTAGTATCATTCACTAATGTTTATATTTAGTCTCAGTTTGCATATACTTGAAGAAATGTAAACACTGTTGGATCTTCCTAATGTTAGGATGTCAGAGGCATTGATTTACATCCTCATCTCTCTCTTTCTCTCTCTCGCTCTCTGTCCCTTTCTCTCTCTGTCTCTCCATCAATCTTCCCCATTCTATATCTGTCTCTATACCCCCTCTCTCTATCTCTTTCTATTTGCCTGTTTTCTATCTGTTTACACATCTAATAGTCTGTCTGTCTGTCTCTGTGTCCCTCCACCAACCTCTCTGTCTGTCTCCCTCTCTTACCCCCACCTCTGTATGTCTGTCTGTGAATGTCTGTCCAAGAAGTTACCAGCAAGGGTCTGTCTGACTTTCCTTATTCTCTCCCTCTACCTCCTTCCTCTCCCTCTCCCTCTCTCAATCCCCCCCCTCTCTCTCTCTCTCCATTTCCCTCTCTCCCTCTCTCTCAATTCTCTCCCTCTCTCTCAATCCTCTCCCTCTCCCTCTCTCCCTCTCCCTCTCTCGATCCCCGTCCCCCTCTCTCTCTCTTCATCTCATTCTCTCTGTCAAACAAAATATAACTTTGTGCAAACAGATGATCAATATAAAATGGAGGATTACTTTGATGAATGTTTTCTGTCTTACCTCGGGAGAATGTTGATGAAAGCTGAGGCGATGATGGCCGGCCCGTCTGAACGTTGGAGGGCAGCGGGGTAGACAGCCCTCCGGAGGCAAGATTCTCCGCGCTGCGGCTCAGCCGACGGGCAGGTGCATCTGGAAAGACAAGAGGAATCATTTTCATTTAAAAAGAGGTGGCCACTGGCTTGGAATTATTAGAAGATTAAAGTGAGCAATTCATCTCCTAGTGGATAAGTGGAACATTTTGATAAAACTGTACTCTTTACACATGCATATACAGTATTAGTAGTGCACATACATGTACATTACACTCGATGGCTTAGATTAATATTACGACTCTAACTGTATGTAATTTAATATAACTTGCAACTTAACTAGATGGACAGTTTTTTTCCAGATTAGTACTTGTTGTATAATTATCAAAACTCGAGATTTAGGATTCTTAATACTTACTATGTACATAAACGTTAAAGTCAGGCATACATATGCAAGCCCTTCAACTTTCAAATTATTGCTTTTTAATTTATAACAGTTCCAATCTATATCAGACAGTTGGATAGATAGAGGATAAATAGATAAATGAGTAGATAGATAGATAGATAGATAGATAGATTAGATGGATAGATAGATTAGATAGATAGATTATTTAGAAAGATCAATCAATGAAGGAAAAATAAAGAAAGATCAAGTTTCATTATTTTCTACCAGCATGGAAAGGTTACAAATACACATAAATTAGCAAAGCACAAAAACGTAAAGACTAATATGAAGACAGCAACCAGAAAGGGTGAAACATGACAATTAAAGTATGTCCTTAAAAAATAGGATTTACATGAAACAATTTTGTAAAAACTGAAACAAAACTATATTAGTTGTACATATATTAGGAAATAATAATTGATAATTGACTCCACAAGTTCACAAACTAGATGCACAAAATAAAATGAAAAAAATGCAAGACACAATCAAAACATGGGGGTGTAGGTTTATGTTTCTTATTAATTATTCATTAAATGAAGTTTAGTTTTCTTTTGATGACAGAACTAGACTACTGGAACTAGAACATACTTCTCATCCAGTAGACACAGCACAATATTTTGATTACATAATTAGTTAAATATCCAATTAATTTACATTAAAGCCCCTCTAGAGTGTTGGGGGCCCCAAAGTTGCCAACAATTTGATGGCAAAATTTCATTTAAATTGTATTATAATGTGAAAGAGGTTGTAATTTAAAACACACTTCTGCAAAGATTTTGCTTATAAAAATGAGTTTGAAGACAAATAATGATAAAAGAATAAATAATGTTTGTATTCTATCATCAATATTCAACTTTGAACACATTTGTTTTGAAAATTCTTGCAGAAATGTTTCTTAAATGACATCCTCTTTCAAATTATGATACAATTTGAATGAAATTTTGCCACCAAATTGTTGGCCTCCCAACACTTTACAAGTGCTTTAAACATTTGCTATAATCATTGATACCATTTTTCTTTAAAATGTACACTATTATTAGCTGGTGCTTGCCTCAAATGCAACTCATGGCAGATTTCACTTGGGGGGATTTCAAGGCAGACATACTTTTTTACACAACCAAATATGCCCATTGTTGAATTTACTGCATTCGAAAATGATTAATTATTCTCAGCTGTGTATTGAGTAAATGTGTACTTTTATCAAATAAGTGTACATTAATGTACTGTAGATACTTTCAATAATGGTAAACTAATAAAACAGTAATTTACATGTGCATAAAGGTAAAAGTCCGACTGGTAGAAGAAAGATTTTAGATCTCTATTTTTTTTAGGTAGAAGTCCTTTTACCAGTCAAACTAATGTTTTTTTCCCTTAAATGATTGATTTCTCTTTTGAAATTTGAAATACATCATTACTTTATTCATAACAAACTGCCAAGCTCTGTGCATATATAAGTTGTACTTCCTTACAATCAATACATACATACATATGTGAAGCAGATAAGCCATGACAAATAAAGGGGAAGCATGAAAGATCGTCTCCCATGGCAAATAGATAAGTCTTTAAATCTCCTTACAAATTGGAATAAATCAATGTAAGCTATGTAAGCCATATAAATGGGCTCAAGAAGATTCAAAACAACTTAACATATTCATGTAAAAGGTGCAAATTGTGTATAGCGGTGTGCAGTAGTCGTTCATTTGAATGTAGGGCTTACACATGTACGTATGAACCTTTAGACATGTACTTCCTTGTACTATAAATAAATATGTTCATTATTCCACAATTCAATAAGCAGGAGCATAGGAATATAAATAACAATGGAAAACAATTATAAACCAGTTAACCCATTGAATTGGACCTGATTTTGGTACAATCATACTGGGCTATGTATTTAACAAGTTCAGACTACCGGTAATTAGCTTTACGATGGTTGAAATCATAACCTCAATTAAGGCCTACATAAAGCTCTACCACTCCAGGATATACATGTACATGAATATGTACTTCCTCAAATGCATCTTAATAAGACAGCAGTTTACCCTGAAGGCAATGCATAGACTTTTACTTTTACTCAAGATGCAGGAACTTTAATTCATCCATCTTTTTCCCCTCTATTAAATGATTCAGTAAGAAATTCTATCTTATTTAAGTATAGTACCACTGGGAAACAATCTTTCTCATAAATACAAATATTTTTAGGTTACATCTGAAGAGATACGTAGAAGAGACATATAGTTAAATACCAAACTGTTATGTAGCTGCATGCACATGTATAATTGCAGTATCATCATTCCACAGACAGACAGCAATTGAATGTATTTGTCCTTTCTACATTATCAGATTACTGTCCAATAATGGGGGAAAAAATCTGTTTTGCATAAAGCACACATAAGCAAAATAATGGCACACAATGCCCGCACACTCTCACTGAAAGTCACACCAAATGCAATAGCTGGGACTACAGAATCATCACAAGAAAAAAAATTGAATGTACTACATGATAAAACCGGGCTTTAAGTAAACACACCTGTATGAAAAATGTGTCGGATGACATTCCCAAGCGGCGAAGACATCTCAATATTTTCGCAAAACCTTCCATGAATTAAAACAACGGTCTGAAGTCTAACAGCGAGACATGGGTTGAAATTAAGAAACTACATTGTACAGGAGGATATGGTGAAACCTGAGTTAGCTGTTCAGTTGTAAACAAACCCTGATACAATAGGGCGTACCCTTATTCTCAGAGCTACGCTTACAGATGAATACAAAGCATTCAGCTGATTTGTAATGGTCTTCAATGCAATCGACCGGTAGCGTGATTATCATGCTACATGTATATATAGACTTCAATTGTGCAAGCTTAAAAAAAGAGTCTATGAATTATACATTGTCAAAAATTGTTTGTCTATCCTGTATTATACATGTACATATAAGAGGAAAGATAAAGCAGATGATTTTTATAACAGGTCAAGGTAATTACCTATCTACAATACAATATTTCGAATACTCTATTTCTCTTTGAATATTTTGGAAAAATTATATGTAGGATAGAAATACAGTGAAACCTGTCTATAAAGACTCAGAAAAGTGGTCTTTGTATCATCTGGCTTAAGTCTGAAAAGACTACATGAGAGTATATTGTGCCTTCAACTTCTGGCTTCGAACAAATGACTTGTCCATGCATAGCCATGTTTGGATTACAATCCAAGCTACAATGGTTACCAGGGAAAAGATTTCATCTCCCACCAAACAGAAAGAGAGAGAGAGAGAGGGAGAGGCAATTTTCTGTGTGAAGTTAGTTGCCTGGTTTACTAATAAAACTACAATTGCTCCAGTATTAAAATTGCTCCTAAGATACTAAGTTTATTTTATCAATTTCTAGATAGGATTGGTCTTTAAAGTATATTGCAATGTTTAGGTGTTAAGGTTGGGTTAGTATATTAAGGGTATTGTGAGTGGTCCAGAGTTGAATAACAATTTGGCTACTGTATGACAGGGCATGACTGCAGAAAAGTTGTTACTACAGGACAAGGTATTTACTGGACCCCCCCCCCCCCCTCCCAAATTTGTGCCTGCTGGATGAAACTTGTGAGCATTGAACACATGCCACACTGCCTTCACACAATTTAGTACCCACAGTTTTTAATATCTTTCATTACAGTCGTTCTATGTGTTTCTTCCACAGTTCTCTGTAATGTTTCTGTTTGAATTAAATGCTCTTGTATGAAATGGCCCTGAATCTACATGCAGTACTACTACCGTTATAGCAGGTTCTCACTGCTGCTGCTAATGAAAGAGTTCAAAGTCATAAATCTACCCACTTGAATTGATTATCATTGATAAATCGCTTCTGACAATTGTCTGAGTCAGGTCTAACAGTGCATCAAGGCTGTCCAAAACATGGCGTAGTGTAGACATTCACATTTGGTCCAAATAGTAGCTCATGTACGTGTACAAGAAGCAAACTGCATTGTCTATATACATGTACATTATATACAAACTTAATGGCCCGAATTCACAAAGCAAGGTTTGAGCTCAGACCAAGGTTTGAGCTCAAACCTCCTTTTGTTTCGCCAAACCTCTCTTTTGTTCTTTACAAACCAGGTTTGTAAAAAACGCGTAAAACGCGTCATATGACGATGAAAACCAAGGTTTGTCGACAAACCTCCTTTGTGAATTCGGGCCAATGAATCCAACACTTTTTTCATACAATGAACCAGTCTAAAACTAAAAGACTCCTTAAAAGTATACATCCCTATCCCTATATCATGAATTGTACAGGGTCTATATAAAGTTTGGATAATATAATAAACAATAAGTTATGCAGGCCCAGCCTACATGTAGTTTACTCACTGAAATCCAACACACTTTTGCTTTAGTTAGCTGGTCCAAAACGAAAGAAAGAAATATGTTCAAAGACTTTCAGTAAAAAAATCTGTAGAAGTATACAGCCTACATGTCACTCTAGAGGGGCTACATCTGCACATAGATGGGTACAATACAGGTTATACCATAACGAAGACTAACGAGGAGACGCGATGGCTCAGTGGTAGAGCAGTGGTCTCGTATAAACCAGAAGGTCCCGGGCTCGAAACCAAGTCGATGCGCTAGTGCCCTTTGGTAAGGCATTAATCCTCATTACCAAGTCCCTC